TATATATATTACAAAGAATAAAAAACATGAACGCTGTCGATATCGTGGTTACATGATATTTATATTGGCTTAATAAATTAAACATTAATCGATTCTTTAATATAATGCTGATTTGTATTTTTAAATATCGCTAATCATTACATTTCTTATTTAGCGACAGTTAACTTACACGAAGGAAATCACGTTATTACATATAATGATTTATTATTTAAGTAACATTAAGTAACAGATAATATTATTAAAACTTTCATTTTATAGATCAATTCGTTTAACCTTCTCTTAATTATTCACGACTTACAATATTGTAGATAAGCGCAAGCTTGCAAAATTCTGAGTGTCTTATGTAATATAGTTTATTTCATGATAATGCTCAGATTTGCTTAATATTCTCTCTCTCTCTTTCTCTCTCTCATTTAGATTTTTCTAAATATAATGATATATAGCGCGAATATATCTTTATAAACCTGATTTTTATAAACCTGATCTTTATAAACCTGATTTTTACAAACCTGATCTTTATAAACCTGATTTTTATAAACCTGATCTTTATAAACCTGATTTTTACAAACCTGATCTTTATAAACCTGATTTTTATAAACCTGATCTTTATAAACCTGATTTTTACAAACCTGATCTTTATAAACCTGATTTTTATAAACCTGATCTTTATAAACCTGATTGTTTTTTGTGTTAAAATGTTACTCACAAGATATTTTTAATATAGAATATGATATTGAGAAAAATACACCAAACCGCACGAGATTCTAAATAGTATGAGGGCCACTTTGAACATTAACTTTAACTTAATAGGCGTTTGTGATTCAACCTGTAAAGATTTGCCTAGAGCAAATTTCTAATTATATAATGCCGTTTCTAATCTAATTTTTCTTTCTAAACAACAAAAAGAAATCTATCCATATTAGCAACATACTATTAAAAAAATATGGGCAGGTATTATCTATATAAGTTAAAATCGTTAAGTTAAACGGGCTTTGCTCGAAAAGTTTCAAATTTATGTAGATATATATCCTTATCGCGATTTCTTGTGCATAATGTGCGAATAATAGCGTTTATATTTTTCCTCTTCTCAATGAATCATCGATATTGAGATGCAGAAATGCGTTATTATTAGGGAAGGAAACGATCCGGAAGATTATTCGCGACTGACGTATAAAAAGCTGCTCGAGGAGACATGCAGATTCGCAAACGTTCTCAAGTCGAAGGGTGTCACCAAAGGAGACAGAGTAGTGATTTATATGCCGAATATTTTGGAGCAACCGATTGCCATGTTAGCTTGCACGAGAATAGGGGCGGTTCATAGCGTGGTGGTGAGTGAAACGCCTGATAGCGATATAAACAGCCAGCGAATGATGAATTAATACGGCAAAAAAGACAATATACGTTCACAGTTCGCAGGATATTCGTCCGATTCTTTAGCGGAACGTATACTGGACTCCAAAGCCAAAATCCTGATTACTGCGGATGGTGTATGGAGAGGAGAGAAATTACTTCTGTTGAAAAATATCTGTGACGAGGCTTTGGAGAAGGTCAAGAAACAGAACTATCAAATCGATTGCTGCATCGTCGTCTCGCATCTGAGAAGACTCAGCCATCCTCAGGGTAAGATGAACGGTGTGAATGGCACTAGCAATGGTGATACAGAGCTGACCAATGTTTCCTGGGATAACGATCGAGATGTTTGGTGGCATGATGAGATGGAGGACGCAGAGCCGAGCTGTTATCCAGTTTGGCTGGCTGCCGAAGATCCACTTTTTATTCTTTACACGAGGTACGAATTATATGTTTGCGAGTTATGACGATTTCTGATGGAACAGGACAAATAATAATAAAAGAGAAAATAGAATCGATAAAATAAATAACTCTTCTATATAACTTTTTTAATTCTATCCTTGTTTATTTTTCATTTCTCTGTCGTATATAGCGGCTCTACCGGAAAACCAAAGGGTCTTCTTCATACTACCGCAGGATTTATGATCTTTGCAGCGACAACTTTCAAATATTCTTTCGATTATCATCCGGGTGATGTTTACTTTTGTACTGCCGATATCGGTTGGATTACAGGGCATACTTATGGGGTTTACGGTCCGTTGGGGTGCTGTGCAACGTCTGTATTGGTACATATGCATTTCCCACATTCTTTTACATAGATAGTACATCGCTTCTATTTTCTTTGTTTCTAATAAATCTGCATTTGTTAATAGTTCGAGGGTGTACCCTTCTACCCGGATAAGGATCGATACTGGAAGGTTGTCGATAAATACAAGGTCACGCAATTTTATACGGCACCAACTGCTATCAGATCATTAATGAAATTTAGCGATGATTATGTGACGAGAAACAGTTTAGCCTCACTTAAGGTAAATCTCAAAGAGTTTATCTTTCTTTATCGGCTTAATGTACGGAAATTTATGCATATATTGCATTTCAGGTCCTTGGTTCAGTGGGTGAACCAATCAATTCCGAGGCCTGGCTCTGGTATTACAATGTCGTCGGCCACGGTAAATGCAGCATATCGGATACGTTCTTTCAAACGGAAACTGGTGGCCACGTAATCACACCGCTACCAGGTTGCACACCTATGAAACCAGGCTCTGCGGTAAATGATTTCTAATTAATGTAATTTTGCCTTGTACATACTATATATGGATAGCTTATTTCTAACGTATGGAATGAATGTACATAGACATTTCCGTTCTTTGGAGTTTTGGCGGAACTTCTCGACGAAGATGGTCACATAGTAGAGGGCGAAGGAGAGGGGTATCTCGTTTTTCGTCAACCATGGCCGGGTATGATGCGGACGCTCTATGGGAATCATGCACGTTTCCAGAGTGCATATTTCGAGCGATTCAAGGGATATTACTGTACGGGAGATGGTAAGCGCATTGCTCTTTTTTACGACCATTTTGCATACACTTTATTTTAAAAACGCATAATTATTCACGTTATTTTGCTAGAGGATTTTGGTATTTAAGTCCAACGTATTTGGCATCTTTGCCCAGTTCTTCCTCGATTCTTAAAATTTGATTATACTTGGCCATTCTTTCACTCCTGCAATCATTTAATAGATATGATTTTTACATATTACAATTGAGAGTGCTAGATAAAGATAAATTTAATCGAAAAAATGGATTAGCGATATGTAATTGGATTTGAAATTCTGAACTTTAAGTATTATTCTCATCACGTCGGATTACCTGCACGGTGCTCCAGCTTTGAACTGACCAGCGGCAAGTCCAACCGCCATATCAGCAACAAAATTATCTTCCGTTTCTCCGCGGCTCGCGCTCACGATATAGCCCCAATCATTGATTCTTGCCATCTTCGCGCAATTAATGACTTCTGTTACAGTCCCAATTTGCGACATTCTTAACACGAGACAGTTCGCTATATTCCTATCCATTGCTTCTTCTATCCTTTCGATATTCATCGCGGTAAGATCATCGCTGACCACTTGAATCTTTTGGTTAGCTATTGTTAACCAACCCTCCCAATCCTCTTGATGGAAAGGGTCTTCGATCGAGACTATCGCTGGGAATTCAGACAGATATTCTAGATATCGGTTTCGCAAAGCCTCAGCTCTCAAATAATTGGCGGGATCGGAATCCTTTGTCTTAAATGCTAGATCGTATCCCCCTACATACATAAATATAAATGCGGAAAACGTTAGGATATTGTCTATGTAAACGGGAAAATATAAATATAGTGGGACCTTCTTTATAAAAAGCGCTTGCTGCCATATCCAATGCTATCTTAATCTTGCCTTCGTAACCAGCGTCTTTAATAGACGCGTTCAAAAGAGTCAGGGCGGCCTTATCATCCATCAAGTCAGGAACGAAGGCTCCTTCGTCGCTAACCGGAAGCGGGCCTCGTATTCCTTGAGCATCAACGATCTTTTTCTCTAGAACTCGATATATTTCAGTAGCCATTTTTACAGCATCGGCGAAACTCTCAGCACCTGCACATATGCACAAAAAATGGCCGAATATCCGGAAAGTTTAAATCATGTATCTGGTTTTCGCACATGTTACCTATAGGTAATATTGCAAATTCTTGACATGGTAAGTTGTTGCCAGCGTATCGTCCCCCGCTGATCATGTTGAAACTCGGTACAGGAATGAACAATTGACTATTTTCGGCCAATTCGGCAATGTATCTTAAAAACGAACGAATGATTATAAGATTTCAAATAAAAGCACGACATTGGAAGATTTCTTCGCGTAATCGATTAAATTAATTCCGGAAATGAACGACAATAAATTAATGGTAACCTGTAAACCGGAAGACCCTTCTTAGCTGCTCCGGCTTTGCAACAGGCGACGGAGACTCCGAGAATGGTGTTCGCGCCGAGTCTCGATTTATTTTCCGTGCCGTCCAACCTGATCAGCAATCCATCTATTTCGGCTTGTTGACAAACCTCCAATTTGGATTTTATCAGTTGCGGAGCGATCACATTATTAATGATATCGACGGCTTTGAATACCGAACGACCGTGGTAAGCCGCCGCGTTCTCGTCTCTGATCTCCCGCGCCTGATTCGGATTGATCAGTACAGTGGAAGGTACCGACGATCGGAGCAAACCGATATCGGTAATTATGTCGACTTCTAAAGTTGGCTCGCCTCTGCAATCAAATATCTGACGGGCCTTGATCTTCTGAAATGTCATTTTATGTTCAATTTTCAAGTTATATCATGACGATTTAAATTGGACGTTATTCGTTTTTGCATGAATTTTGCGGACGTATAAATCTTGCGGTTTGATCGATGGTGATTACATGATCTAACAATTTTGCGATTGAAATTACGTGCTGCACGCTGCACGTTCAGATTCACGAGACTGTCTGACAACACATCTGACAGACATATATGTTCGTAGTCTCATTCAGATACATTCAAGCGAAATGATATATCAAGACAAATATATGTATATTTCTAGAAAATCCATGTTTTATTATATAATTCTCTATTCCAATTTCATGAAAAAAAAATCTTGGAATTAAGGCACTTTACTTTAAACATTTATTTAACACTATCATCCTCTTTTATGATTTTAGGAGCGAAACGCGACGCAGACGGATATCTATGGGTAACCGGCCGTATCGACGATATGTTGAACGTTTCCGGTCATCTAATGTCAACGGCTGAAGTCGAAAATGTATTGGCAGAACATTCTTCGGTAGCCGAGGCCGCAGTAGTCAGTAAAAAACATACTGTTAAAGGTGAATGCTTGTATTGTTTCATTACGCCTAGTGACGGGAAGACGTTTGACGAAAAATTGCAACTTGAGCTTAAAAAGAGAGGTGAGTTTTTGTAGAATTAATCGATTTAATTATATTATGAATTATACATTACGATAATGAAATAATTTTTGAATAGTACGCGAAAGGATTGGCGCATTTGCTCAACCGGACGTTATTCAACATGCTCCAGCTTTACCGAAAACAAGATCCGGTAAGATCATGAGACGTATGCTGAGAAAAATCGCAGCGGGCGACGATAATATCGGAGATACATCTACATTGGCCGACGAGACTGTCATCAAGCTTCTCTTGGAATTAAGGCCAAACGTTTAAAATGTGTATTTCTCGCTTATTATAGGAAGGAAAATATCTTGAGAAAAATTTTCACATAATTTCGATGAATGTTGACAACATGATGCACGATTTTCGGATAATTTCATAAAATAAAAATAATATATTTAGATTGCACATTGAAAATATCGAGTCGGTCTACGTATTCGCACAATATTGGAGACGCATTTCATGATCTTATTGCAATTATTAATATAATAATTACAAACATACAAAATGTATAAATGATACTGTTATCTTTGTTTTTCGTTAATCGAATTCTGTCTATTGTCACTCAAGTTTTTAGAATGATTAAAAATATGAAAGTTATCATTATTCTTTTGACACGTCTCTTATTTATTTTCTTCCATTTTTTTTTCAAAGAAGACAAGAGAGACGTGTCGAAAGGATAAATTAATTGTTAATAGAATTACCGGATAAATAGAATTAATTGATTAAATTATTGGTCGCTCTCCTCAAAGAGTTGCTGCGGCTGCGATACATATCTTACGTAAGCATCTCGCTAAGTTGCCTATAAATGTCTTTGTTAAGCTATTTAAATTTGAAATTAGTTGCAAAACAGAAAACGCTCAATACAAGAAAACTATAGTACACAGCACGATAGTAGACGATAGATAAAAGGTTGGTTGCACAAATACTAATAACTGTATTACTTAACAGATGTGAGCATAGCACATGACTACGTGACGCGTATATATGTAATTGACGGATACCGCAAAAAAGACGGTATTCTGCTTCCTGCAATTTAGTGTATATATAATATGTTACAATTCTATTTATGTATACACACACAGGGTGTCTATATTACTTGATGTACTGTATTTCGTTTCAATTACATATTCTTTGATAAGCTTTCGAAATTGAGAAATAAATCTTCTCTCTTCGCTATTCAAGGTATAGCGTGATTGAAAGAAGATACGGATGTACGAACGTACTTATGAATGAAAGTTGCCTCGTGCTCCTTTTTTGGGAGTTACGTCACATACATATCATTCCTTGCGGAACAAGACAACCTTAGGTGTGATAATAAATGTATATGTATTGTACGCGTAGAGAGATATATAAAACAAACAACATAAGTACAGATATGACTATGTAACTATATATAGACATATATGTATGTATGTTAAGAATACATCATAAAAAATTACGATTGTTCTGTTACATGATGAGGAGTGTATTATTTTTCTTTTTTGCCTCCTCTTCTCCCCTTTCTCTTCTTCTTATATCATATATAGAAATAACAGATATTTTATTTGATATGCATGTGTGTATTATCGTGCTTAGCTCTTCCGGGTTGTACGAGAATCGATTCATGCGACGTGGTGGTGGAAGGTAGTGTATATATCGAACGATTACGTATTACGTCAAAGCCTGAAAGCCACGCAGCTTGGTGTCAGTGCCAGCTGAGTGTCGGTACAGGCAAGAATTCACGGCGGAACCATTTTGGAGCGCGTGTCGTTGTACAGTGTGGCATTCCATCTATTACATATATAATTATAAATAAGAATCGCTTCTCACACACCTGTAATAAATCATGTTTACGGATGTCGACGAGTGTTACATCGAGATCTTGCGGCTTGTGAAACAGGCTGGTTCGGTAAGTCGAGGGACTAAAATGCAAGTAATCTTATTTTCTTGAATGTGATAACAAGATACGCAGATAGATTTTATCGATTTTATCGAACGCTTTATTTTTTTAAATTATATGTCATGGTATTATTAACGTGGCTTATCATATTGATTGATCGCAGTCGCAAAAACATATTATATTTTATTGATACATTAGTAATTTTTTTATATATAAAAAATAATTTTGTCAATTTTAATATCCCTATAAGATTCCGTGAAATCACCAAATATTTTATGGCGTGTCGGAGACAGGTAGATTACAACTACAGATGCAAAATAATTTGTACACAATGTGAGAGGGATATAAATATGTAGTAGTAGCAGAAGAAAAACAAGCTACGCCTTTTAAATAATCTTGTTTTTCTGCCTGCCATAAATGTTCAATATTATATAGCGTATATTTTTGTTTACGTATAATTCTTTGTCGTAGCTTTAAAAGCTTTATTATCGGAGCATTCGGTTTTTTAATGCACCTTGTCTTATATAAGAAAAGATTTAAATTATATTATTATATTCATATGTATATATAAATATATATAATATATACACGTTTCGTTTGTAGATTGTCAATGAAAAGATTCATCAACATAAAGATGTATTCACAAAATCGTGCGATGTCGATTTGGTTACAGAATGGGATCAAAAGGTAGAGAAACTTTTAATCGACGGAATATCATCCAAATATCCTGATCATAAGTAAGTAATTAAATTTCAATTATGCATTCTGTGCTATTGCGCGTATATAATTCGCATATAATTTTTTTATTAAAAAATTATATCGAGTCTCATTACAATGAATAATATATTAATCGCTCCCAATAATATATACGATCTTAATTATAAACTTTGCAAATATGACGATAAAAAACTAGAAAATATATAATTATTGTATAAGAAACATATTTCATAATAGTGAAAATCTTAAAAACATCTTAGAACCAGAAAGAGAAAGGTAAAAATTAGAGTTTTGAATTGGTGCATTTATAGAAGAAGAAAAACTTCATATTGTTCTCATATTTATACAAAAAAAAAAAAAAAAAAACAGATTTATCGGCGAAGAAAGTACTGCTATGGGCCAAAAGATAGAACTAACAAATGCGCCAACATGGATAATCGATCCGATCGATGGCACAATGAATTTCGTTCATGGTTTACCGCACACGTGCATATCGGTTGCGTTACTTATTAATAAAACGGCGGAAATAGGAATAATATATAATCCGATTTTGGAACAGCTTTTCACCGCCCGTAAGGGTCAGGGCGCTTTTCTTAATGGCGCCCCGATTCACGTATCCGACAAAAAGGGTAAAATTTGCTCTCTCTATTTCTAGAAATAAAATACTACATCACAGTATTAATCCTTGCAATCTTATAAACGTTCGACGATTTTCCGATTTTGACCGAATTGACAATCTGTTTTCATTATTCTATCTGACGTTATTTCAGAATTACGTAATTCACTGGTAATGATAGAAATGGGAACGAGCAGAGATCCGGAAAAATTGGAAATAGTATTGCAAAATATAAAGATCCTTACAACACGTATTCATGGGTAAATCATATTTACGAACTATATTTTTGCACAAAGAGATAATTTTTTTACTAAAGAAATTTATCCCCTACTATCGTGTAGACTGCGATCGCTTGGTTCGGCAGCTTTGAATATGTGTATGGTAGCTCTCGGTGGTGCTGATGTTTTTTTCGAATTTGGTATACACGCATGGGATATTGCAGCCGGAGATCTTATTGTTCGAGAAGCTGGCGGTGTGACGATAGATCCAGCTGGTAAGCACAATTGCAAAATATTATATGCATCAGTATAAAAAATCAGTATAAAAGATGTTGCACGTTAATGCAGAGAACTATCATTTATTTTATTCTTACGTCATAAGGAGGTCCGTTTGATGTGATGAGCAGAAGAGTACTATGCGCATCATCGATTGAATTAGCTCAAGAACTTTCCAAAATATTAATTCAGTATTATCCAGAGCGAGATTAAGAAGCTTCAAAGCTTTGAAGACGAGGAAGAATTTATGTTTGCATGTCAGATTGGATATATGCAAATATTATTTCCTAAAAGCAAGAAAAATAAATTGAAGATATATTATATAGAAAAATTTAAGGTATGCGAGTTTACTTTAGATTAAAAAAATATCGATGTAATTATGAATTTTTCTTCTACTTTTACTTTTGTGTAAAATGGTTTAAAAAATTGTGTGTAATAAACTTATTTATGTACTTATATATAAAACCAACATTTTATATGTATAATAATGATATATTTATTGAGAGATAAAAATCTATATAGAAAAAGGATAAAACCGAATTATTTACTAATACGAAATTATTACACTTAAATAATAATATAAAAATAGCCACATACATTGATATGAAGAGATTGAAAAATATTATTTTTATCCTCATATATATGCTTATTTTATATTGTATATATAATTAATATAATTAATAATAAATTACGATTTTTATAAAAAATGCAGAAATTATATTAATGTTTTACACATAGATCCCTTTTACTTTGTATACCTAAATTGCTAAGCTTGATATTTTATATTTATAGCTTATATTCTATATTTTACATATCCAAGTCAAGATCTTATAAAGTTAAATAAGCATTATTGTGAGGAAATAGATATAGATCTTTATGATTTTGATAAGTTTATTTACATTAAAATATTTCTACATATTATCCGATAGTATGTACGAAAAGGAGAAAAAAAAGAGAGAAAAAAGGTAGAGAAGGGAGAAAGAAACAAAAATAGAGCGAGATAATTTTTCGAGAATAGTGGATTCATCACATCTGCTTTTCGCTTTCATGGAGAGAGAGCATAGGCTTTAAATATCTGAAAACTCAAAATCGCAAATATTAGTATTATACAAATATTTATCATTTTCTCGTTGCTTAAAAATGTAATTTTTGAGACTAAAATAATTTTGAGAAAAATAGAGGTACAAGTGTAAATTAAAATGTTTGGCTACTTTGGTTTATGTCGCTTGTGTTTGAAATTTTTATAACTATGTACTTTACCTGCATACATACTTACGAGTCCTCAATTGTGATCTCGAGTAGAACTTTAAGAGAAATCTTAGCGCGCAGATATAAATCTAGTTAAACCGTTGTATAAACCTTGTTGAACTGTTTAGCGACAGTGTATGTGTATTTTTACGCAGTAGACACGACGTAGGCGCAAGTATATCACATTTTCTCCTCTCCTCCTCATCAATCGTATTCATCATCACTTCTTCCATTGCCTCCCCTCCTCACAGGGAGGGCTACAAGTGAAACATCACCAAATTGCCAATTAGAACAGCACATACTAATCATAGTTTCATAGTATACTTTTATTTCATTATTGAGAAACATATATCTTTTTATTTCCACGTCAATTTTATGTTATTAATACTTTATTTTATATAATTGTCCCTTTCTGGTTGAACGAGAATACTAAAACATGTATATTTATCGCGTATTAATATCGTCTATCGATTTCTATCATATGTTTTTTTTACTTTCTAATTCTTGCATTTACAAGAGCAAATACTCAGATGTAATTATATACAAAACTGTTGGAATTTTAATTTAAAATTCTATGCTATTTCTTGCCTCAAATATAATTCCTATCAAACAGTTTATTTAGATTGGCACAAAATTCGGATTATACTTTTGTATGGTTTATGTGCATGACCTCATTATTAATACAAACTATACTAAACATATATATTGAAAAGTTGATGTGTATTAAGTATCCCAGGCAATCCCCCATGAATACCTTGTAACGGGATCGGCGCTAAAGGCCCTTGAAAGGTCCGGCCGCACTTAACGATGATTTGAATCGAAGACACATCTGAAACATAAGCAGTCTCGTACAATCTTGTCACGTTCAAAATCATGCCGTGAACCATTCACAACAGCATCGATATTCGTTCCTAATTTTAAATGAATATGAAAATTTTCGAGATTTTACAGTTTGATCCTAAGACCATAAAAAGTATAAAAAGGACGCTATAAATAAAATTAGAATGCCACGTCTGCAGTAATATATGACTCTTACTTAATGCAAATTGCTACATAATTTTTCAATAATTATTTCGCTTATAATACCTCAATATCGCTTTATATATCTTTAAATTTTGCGTCGCAATGCAAATATATACTTTCACCTCTATTTAGCATTATCGCAAATATATATAATTACATATACGATTATAGAAATATTAGATAAGCATCTCATTCGATCCGTCGTACATGATTATGGTCATATATCGAGATATGCTATTAAATATTAAAATTGATATACTATTAAACATGTTGTCAACTAAAAAAATGAATGTACGCTATATACATATACATATATGTATATATAGGTATAGATATATATACATATATATATACATAATGTATATCTACCATACTATCACTGTTACATAATGGAATTTGATAAACACATCCATCTTCTTTAAATTTCAGAGATAGAATGGAAAAAAACAGAGACAGAGAGATTGAAAGAGAGAAAAATACGTCTGTGAGCAATATTTCAACTATATTCACACATTTGTGATTTAAGATCGAAAAGACAAAATGCAGGACGTTCTTCTCATTTTGTTAAGCATGTGTCGTTTTATTTTCAATATAGCTATTGTATATTTGCTATACACTTTATCTTCCAATTCGAGCAGGTTTCTTTGCCACTAAGGCTTCTAATGCTGTGTGTGTGTATATGTGTGCACGTATGCTCGCTGATGAGGTACTCTAACGGATCGAACAGTGTGTCCAATAAGAGGCTTACAGTTCTTTATAAGTATGAATCCTTCTCGCTTCGTGGAAATACGAACGTACAATTTCATGAAGCATCTATAATATGAGCGCACGATCTATAATCAATTTATGAAGTGCTATTTATAAGGATTTATGTCGTGCTCTCTCCAAATCATGAGAATCGGAAAGGGGAACGATACTATAATTGTATATCAAGTTTCCAATATCTGGTACTATATAGTTTGTGCTGAAAGAGGCGGTCGTTTTTATCCATATTTTTCTCATACATGTGCACAATATATAATTAATATATTTTAAAAACTGATATCATAAAACTGATATTTTCTATATCAAGAGAATTATTAATATGACCATACTTCCAGATACATTACAGACTAATCTATATTTAGAGAATATCTATACGTATAACAAGTCATTAATTTTTATATTCACAATTGTTTTATGTCGAGTATAAAAATATTATACTTTATTAATCTGATAATAGCATCACACATAGTTAAATTATATTTTTGGATTCATGGTGTATAGCATTCTATACGCGCGTAACTATATTTCAGAACTATATCCTTTTTTTTATCGCAATTCTCACATATTATACGAAATAATTTGTAGAATATTGAACCGCCTCTTCCTGCTAAAACACAAATACGGATATTCTATGTGTAAAAACAAGAGTATTTGGAATGGAGGCAGGGGAGGAACGAGAATAAGAGAAATAGAGATGGAGAGAATAGAGAGACGTACCGCGCGCTCTCCCCTATCAAATAATATTTAACATTAATAGGAAAGGGATTATTAACAACCTCATTTTACAAAGTTATGTCAATAAATTCTTCGATGCTAAAGGACCCCAGATAGGGTTACCTATATTTTTTCTTGTATAAAGGGATGCGCCAGGGCGTGATTTACTGTGATCCTCTTCCCCGCGTCCAACATCAGCGTTCGTTCCAGTAAATCCTTCAGTTGTCCAACTTTGCGATTTTGTTCTGGTGGTAAAGAATTCCCACCGAGTTCCGCGCTGAGATCGCGAGTCGCTGGCAGTGTCGACATTACGACAACCTTTTCCTAGAAATTATACTATTCAGTGAATTCCGCGATATTTCTTCAATAAATAATGCAAAAAAACCTATAATTATACGATACGATATTTTAATCAATGTATTAGATTTCTTCTATGACGCGCCTAAAAAAACAGCGTTACTTACCGCGCGTTTTTGGCGCGAGTCAATGGAATTAGAAAATTGCTAAGTATCGACTTACCCGTTCCGTAACTTTATCAACCTCGTGATACAGGAAACTGCAATTACTGTCAAAATGTTGATCCTTAAATGTCCCCTTTCGAATTAGTTTGTTCGGCATTTTGCCCTTTAAATCCATAAAGTACTTCAACATTTGGTTGTTCGTTTTTCCCGAAAACATTATCTTTCCCGTGTAAAGCTCGTATATGGTGCACCCCACAGACCACATGTCAATGCCAAAATCATACGGTATACCAAGAACTAGAAAATAATGACATTACTTTCGGTTCGAGACATTTCAAATTCAATTTCTACCATCTTTTCAACGTTGTGCAAGTTTGAGTTGATTTATATAACAGACACATATCATTTTTTTTTCTTACAAAATGACATAATATATAATATGATAATATCATATAATATAACAATCTTGGTTTAATCGAGATTCTTGTTATTGAATATTTGGATGAGCGCGCATGTAATATTAATTGTTATGATAGTAACTACCTATCTCTAAGTATGGCGCGAAACGAAGAGGGCGAAGCTAATGCTTGTAAAGTCGCTGTATGTTGTTTGCTAGAACTGCTTGTCAGATATTGCGAGATAAATATTATCAGTAGAACATACACAGTGGATGTGATATATAATGTTATTGATAAGCATGTAATATGTACATCGTTTAAAAAAAAATGTTTATATACATAGATCTATCGAAAAATTTTGAAGCGGTATGCGATAACAGTTTCCACAAACTATGTGAAACAAGAGATTATCCATAAATAATAGATTTTAATAAAGTTATATAAATAAAAGAGAAAATATGATATGTAATAACTCTAGGTTGATTCAATAAATCAAAATACTTACTAATTTCGGGCGCACGATAAAATCTTGAGACCAAGTATGGTGTTATTTCATTTTCATGGGCGTGCGATGCGGAACCAAAATCACAGAGTTTTAGCACTAACTTGCTTTCACTGACTAGAATATTATCCGGTTTGATGTCAGCATGCAGAATATTTGCACGTTTTAATAACTTTAGTGCTAGAAAAAGTTGCTGCGTATACGACCTTACCGCTTTAACATGTAAACCAACGTCTTTGCCATATTTTTTTAAAACCTACAATTTTGAAAGAAATACAATTATTGCAACAGCGTTCTCTAATTGTATTTTGTTTATGATAAATGTGCATACCTCTCTTAAATTCATAGCTAAAGGTTCGAAAACCATGCACAAATGGTTTTTGTGAAAGAAATGTCTAAATAAACGCAAGCAATGAAATCTATCCTCTGGATCAGCATCGTTCAGCTTCCTAAGGATTTCTAGCTCCTTTAAACCGGTTCTATGCCTATAAGGACAAAAGATAGTAGCATTATGCATTGCAATCAGAAACTGAAAATGTTGTACTTACATTATCTCATTGTTCCTTATAATTTTCACAGCTACATCCAAATTTCCTCTAGCACTGTCTCTCGCTCTTACAACATTGCTAAATACACCTTGTCCTGTATACCCATAGACTACGTATCGTGTATCTAGCGTTTCTCCAACGCGTACACTGAGAAACAAATTATTACCTTTCAAATTGATCATTATTCTTTTAAATTAAAAAAGAAGTATATGAAACAAAAAGAAATAATGTCACTAACCGATAATATCCTTCCGCGTCGTCCCAGTTATCCGTTAAGCTAGGATTATCTGGTCCTCCTTGACGTTTTCCTTCAACTGTCGGACTCTGAATAACAAATTAGGATAAAAGAAAATATAATAAATAAAAAGAAAGAATTAATTTAAGCTATCAGAGAAATAAAATAGAAAATATACATTAAAATCTCCGATATTATCTGCTTCTGCAAACATGTCCCATTCGTTCGATTTTTTTGAAGTTTGCTTTTCCTCTTGTTTAAATTTCTCAGATGTTTTGATGTTCCCGGTTTTGTCAGATTCGTTGGGTGATGCATCCTCGAATCTAGATTTTCTTTTCTTGGCTGGAGGCGAAGATTCTAGTTTTTCCATGGGCAGTGGCGGAGTATGGCTCTCCAATATAGATTCATTGTTATTGGATGGAATTTCTATAGATTTTTGTGATATATTAGATTGGCTTTCTGGAGAAGCAGCGACATTTACGTCAGCAGACATATTAGAGTCCTCATTTGGTCCACTCAGCCTCTGTAAAAGAGAAAAAAATATATTCAATATGATCATAACGGATTAATATAATAAAGTAATATATGTGCATGTAATTATATGTATGTATATATAATTTATGCAATTTACTTTGAGCAATTCTTCTCTTTGTTTTCGTCGACGTTCTATAATCGCTTCTTCGTCCTCGTCTTCTTCGATATTGATATCTTTGATGTCCTCTTCACTCGAGCTGTCCGAATGTTCTACTTTAAGACCTTCTGATAAGGAATCCTTATACTTATCATTACGCTCTCTTTTGCTGTTTCTGTCTCTATCCTTCTCACGATCTCTGACATGGTCCCTGCCTTGCTGTTGTTTATCCCGATCTCTACGACTTCGGGAGGGCGATCTAGATCTCTTATATCGATCATTTCGTTCTCTTTCCGTTCTGCTTCGAATAGGACTACGAGATCTTCTCGCGCTACTGCGAGACCGATCCTCAATTCGATGATCGTGATACCGACTGTCTCGTCGATCACGACTGTCGTCATGTCGATCTCTATTTCCATGCCGATCTTTACTTCGACTATCCCTCTTATCGCGACTAGCATGACGACGAGGCTCTTTACTCGATGGTCTGTCGCGACTGCGTCGATCGTGATTAATGTGCTGATCTCGGCTGTCTTGACGTTCGCGACTTCCCAATCTGTCGCGGCTTTTATTATCTGAATTCTTTGCCTCGTTGTTACGAGTTTTTGAACTATGACAAGTAGGTTCTCGTCTTCTATTCTCTTCTCTGTACATATAAATTAATCGTTCATAGAGTATTTATTAATTGAGATTGAGTTATTAATATATATTAATAACTTCATTTTTAATAGATAATAGCAATTAATGTGAAGCAAAACAAGCAATTTTATAATATTCACTTACCGTCTATCCAATTCCCTTTTTCGTGTCTCGTCTCTTTTTGAGATATCTTTACGCCTGTGTTGGTCTTCGTCTGCTTTTCTATTGGACTCCTCCTTTCTCGTATCTTCTTTTTGCCTTTCGCTAGCCTTTCGTGGTGCTCTATCGTCTTTTCGAGTTTCTTCTCTTTTTCCTTCCTCTCTAGAACGGACTCTCTCTTCTTTTTTCCTATCGGAATCTCTTCTCTTTTCTTTATGCTGTTCGCGAGTTTTTCTATCTCTAGTCATATCAACTATAACGCGTCTTTCAATCTTTATCACTTTTTTACGTTCCCTACTGCTCGATTTACTCCTGGTTCGTTTTTTCAATGGCACATCATTAGTGTCGCTATCATCTTCCACTAGTATTACATCAGGTGTTTCCGTCGTCGTTTTTGTTTCTTCTTCTTCTTGTAATTCTTTATCTTCTCCTTTCTCAGATTCATCCGAAAGATATTGTACTAAACATGCTTGTAATCGTTCCTGCACAATGCAATTTTAATAAATTAAACATTTATATCATTTATGATATAAAATTTGTATTTACATAATATTATTATATTATTTCAATTAATTAAACTCACATGTACCTTTTGTTTCATTAACTCTTCAAGATCAATATCATCTTCTATGATTGTACAATCTACCTCATCTGAATCTAAATCAACTAACTTTTCATCTTCGCTTTCTTCTGTAGAAACAACTTCTAATACAGATGTTTTTGTTTTTCCATTCATACCAACTTCTTTATGTATTACATTGGAGATTAATTTCTCATCTATACCATTTTCTATTTCCTTATCTTTTTTCTGCCTCTTGTGTTTTTTATGCTTCCGCCTATAAACAAAAAGATGTTATTTTAATTTCAATTAATATATTTATAAATCCTTTATTTTTATATTAAAACTGAACCTTTCTTGCCTATCTAATCGTTCATCTTCTCTTTCAATTAACTTTTCTTTCTTATGCTTATGATGCTTATGTTTCCTTTTCTTTTTCTTTCGTTGATCAGTCATTCCATCTGTATCAGAATCTAATCCTAAGGGTTCTCTTTTACATTCGGGGCCTTCCAAATCTGACGTACTGTAATACATATCAAAATAAATATCTTAGCAGAACAATTTTCTATGGATGGAAAGACTTAATCCGTTTCTATTCTTTCAACAAATACGGAGATAGAGAAATATGCTGATTCTTCTGTGTTGATACTGTAATACTAAATTTCGAGGTCCTACACAACATACTTACCTCATAATGAAGTTTAGTAAATAATTAATAGATGCACAACAAACAAAATCACTTCACACGATAATTCCAGCGATCCGAATAATTTCTAATAATTACAGCGATTATTACTATCTGGAACACGAATGCACGAATCTTTTCAGTAAGACGCCATCTTGCAAGTTCTATCGCTTCTTATAACGGCTGTGTTCCGAAATTCACTGCCAGTACTGAAAATTTATAATATACGTAACGTAAACTATAGATTTTCAGTACTGGCAGTGAATTTCGGAACGCAGCCAACGAGTCATTTCCACACGCTCGACAATTATCGATTTACGCAAATCGAATCATTTATTCGATTCTTCTTTTTCGGATATATGCGAGAGAAGGAACAAAATTATTAGTTAAAAATTCTTGGAATATCAAATTTAAGATTTTTGCAAGATATTATATTTGCCATACAAGAAGCTTTGTTGAACGAATTAATTTATTGTTACTGCAAGAAAATTTCGAAATCCTAAAAATTCTCTATTCCATAGCCAATCGGTATATGTGGCTAGTGGCCAAAAAGAAGCCTGAGAGGGGTCGCGCTGCCGTTTTTCGTAAGATACTTTTTTTATCTAATACAGTAACGCCAACTGGATCCATTTTAGAGCCAGAGGAACTACATGGCCAGATTCACTTTTTTGTATCACGGTAAAACGGCCGGTTGGTGCATGTCCGTGCTAGATCCATAACTGTAAATCGAAGATGCGAGAAATATTATGGATTAATTAATGTTTTATTAGCTGTGCGTATATTTTATCATTTTAATATATACTACGGACAACGATAATAAAAATTATTATTAAAATATTTTTATGTATACGCGCATGTAAAATGAAATATATTTTCTTAATTTTTTTCTTAATTTTTAAATATAATGTGTAGAAAATACTTATACAATAAATTGCTTTCACTTTTTTTTTATTGTTGGAATAAAAGTGTCAAGCACTTTAAGCAATATTAAATTATGCTTTTAATTTATATAGCTTTTTATTATTAATTTTTTTATTAATTATATTATTTAATTAATTTTTTAATTTTATAAATTCAGTTGGATTAATTCAGCATACTAGTGTGCACCGGGAGAGCTCCGATTGCCTCCGTTTGACATTCCCACAGTTATGGATTTAGCACGGACATGCGGATGTGCAATCAATTCCAGAGAATAGAAAAGAGAAAAAGGAAATCAGATAATATAAGATTTATATCAGATAATATAAGATTTAAGATTTCTCAGTATATTACGTTTTTAATTAGATTCTGGCAGACATTTTGTAAAATTTGTTCTTAATTTGATTGTCTGGATTATAATCATACATAATATTTATAAATATAAATTGAATTGAATTAAGATAGAATCACAGTTATTGTTGTATTTGTGACTCGGGTGAAGATGACATTAAAACCAATTCCTCAGCATTTAATTCGGAATCCTTGTGTCGCAAAGTCGATGAATATGAAAAATCTCCATGATCCAATCTTTTCATTTCCGTTGCTTTTTTTGTTAATTTTTTAATTTATAGATTCAGTTGGATGCACTAATACATACCGATGCACATTTAAAAACTGTTATAGATAAATTTATATAAGCATAATTAATTATTATATTTTCCTATAATTTTAATACGTGCTCTAAGAAGTTTCAATTGTTGACAGCGTTAATTAATTCTTTTACATTCTATGCGCATTTTGCGATATTTTGCGAAAACCTGATAGTATACCTATCATTGAACGATCATATAAACGTGAAAAAATTAATTAATGCCGTTAATCATTAAAACTTCTTACAATACTCATCAATCAGCGTTTTCGTATATAAATCTGTGATTAATTTTTATGCTTATACTAGGACTTGTAGAGAAGAAATCTTAAGCCATAATTCGTAATAATTTAATCGATAAATAAAATATTTTACAACATAAATATAACGTGAAGTATACGACGCGTAGTTGGTTAATTACAATGATGTTATTGGCACCTATATTTTACGTCTCGTATTACCAAATACGCGTGGTATTTCTTCATTTCATTAATCTTGATGTATCGATCATATTTTTACAATATTATCAGAATTAAGTATATAATGATAATAGTAACAGGAAACAAAATAAAATACAGGTAAATATACTATATGCTTGAAGAATAAATACTAAGGTTATCATCGCAAGCTGTGGCTTTGTCTTATACAAGTAGAAACGAATATTACGTAGTCACGAAATTATTATAAGTACATCATTAGATGTAGAATGCCAAGTTTTTGAGAATTCTGAATATGGAGATATCTAACGCTTCGTTGTCTGTCTCGCTAGCCGTGGATAAAATTTTAATAATACCGAATCAATGGATCTTTGCTAATCTACAGAATATAAAATTTTTGAAACTGTACACACGAGCATAATATGGTAAAATTTACTAGAGCAATGAAACGCACTAAAATAAAAAAATGAATTGCTCGTGTATGATATTTAATACATTTCCTGAGTGTTTTGATAGATATTAAAGAAAAGATTACTTTATCCTGACTAGATTAGCACTCTATAAGCACTTGTCCAGTCTCTTGTATGAATCTTAATTTCTAATTGCTATACGCAACTTGATTTTACAGAGGAATTAATCAATGGCACTGTCGTCGTTGCGCTGACAGTTAGGCACAAATACATAGATGGATTCATTATTACAATTTTCTAGGGAAGAAGAGAACAAAATTAAATACGCGGAAAAGATCAATTATATCCATTACAAGAGTACGGCTACGAGATATAAATGTTCAAAATTATATATATACACATACAAATGCTTATTCAAACAGCTGTTTAGCATAATGCCAAATACGGAAGAAGTACTCGTCTTTTCTAAGTAATCTCGCTCTCGCGTATGAATGTATATCAGCGTCCATATTATGTTCCCGCAACCACGAACTCGTGTTTTCCGTGCTGAAACTGATCGATGCAGTCTCGCCCTTGTCCATAGCTTCAGCGATCGGTTCCACAAATGACAGTTCTGTCGAGGAAATAGATTTATAATTAGTTGAATTTATACGAACGTTGCAATAATAAAAGAATATATATTTTTAAAATAAAGATCATTCAAGCGACAAGATAAGAAGAGCGAAAAAATAATAAGAAATAAAAGATAAGTGGAGAGATTGTACCTGAGGTCGGCACGATCTTAAATGGTTCTTCCGATTCCAGATGATCGCTGAATCCGATCTCGTTTCGTGCAAAAATTCTCACGAGATATTCGTGATTCTCTTGCAGGTCGCGAATGTTTAATTTCTGGATGTCTGCGCTCACTCTGCCTACTTCCATCCACATAGTCTTCTTCGTGTCTCTAATAGCGATCTTATAACCTTCCAAAGGTGCGCCGCCGTCCGACTCAGGCCTACCCCATTCGATTACCATTGTGTTCGCTGCAATTTGCCTCATCTCTAACGGAGCGGTAGGCGGTGACGGAACGTCTACAAAACGATTTAAAACAAATTGATATATAAATCGTGTAGTTATTTACTACATAGTAATAATTTGGCGATAGCTGGACGATAAATTGGAGCTCACTGGCATGAGTTTTCAATGTGATCGGCTCGGAATTGGTTGGTGTGCTAAGTCCTACGCTATTTTCAGCAAAGATTCTAAAGAGAAACTCGCTCTCTTTCAAGTTTTCTATGCAGTATTGATTCGTTGTAGCGTCCAAAGTGACAATCTTTGTCCATCGGGCACCTTTTCCAATTAATGGCCTCTTCTCGATTATGTAACCTGTAACAATAATCAATATTTAGCAATATTAAAATAATACTGAAACAAAGAATATTATATAAAGTTTTGTGCTATTTTATATGTCAAGTCACCTGTCAATTCTGATCCTCCTGTGGTAGCTGGTGATGACCAACTGAGAGTGACGCTTTTGCTCGTAACATTGGTCGCTCGGACATTTAGAGGGGATGAAGGTGGTGCTAAAAAGAATTTAAAATATGCTTATTGCGTAATATATGTCTCATCTCATATACAACGAATTATATTTACAATTACAGCAAAAAGAAGCGCAAAAAGAGCGGGATATAATTAACTTACTCTTAACGACAACCATTTTCGTAGACGGGAATATGCCTAATAGTGCATATATGCTGTTTTCTGTGAGCTTTACTATTTCTGAGCAAAGGCGAAAGCGTTAATAATTAAGCGACATTTTGGAAGTTAATCGATTGAGAGAGGAAATAAGCGAAAAAGATATTTAAAAAATAGTTAATCAACTCACTCGGTCGTTTGCCGGCCGTAATCGCTTCTTCTGCTATGTATGGAGGACCGGTACCGACGCTGTTTTTAGCTGTTATTCGGAAATTGTACGATGTGTCCGTTTTCAAATCAGATATAATAACATTTGTGACGTCCCCTTTTGTGCTTGCAATCTGAAAAAGTGTATACAGAGATATTCGAGATATAATATATAATCTTGGTTTTGGTGCCTGTGATGTGATGAAAATGAATACAGTACTAACCCTTCGCCAAGCTTTCTTTGATGTCTCTTTTATTTCGACAATATAATCTGTAATAGGCGTACCGCCATCGTTCTCTGGAGGTTCCCATTTGATCGTGAATGACGTTTTCATCATTCCAGAAACTTCGAATGGTCCTCTTGGCGGGCCCGGTGGTTCTGTCGAAAATAAAGATTCGATTATTTTTTTTTAAATTAAATTTTTATAGTGTTCTTTTCTATCTAACATAATCATCATAATCCTTTTGTTTTACCGAATGAAGTCCTTGTCTTAATTGGCTCGGATTCCAAAGGATCTGAAGCTCCAACTGCGTTTCTAGCGACTATTCTAAATAGGTAGTCGACATCTTGCTGCAATTTCTGCGCGCAGAAATTTTCGACTTCTTTGTCAACATCACCCACTTTTGTCCAAACTTTTTTACTCGCTTCACATTTTTCAATGGTGTATCTTTCCAGCTCTACGCCACCGTCATCGATCGGTGGTCGCCATTCTATGGTAACACGATCTTGTCTAATTTCTTTTGCGACAACTGGTCCCTGAGGTTTGCTCGGCTTATCTATAATGTATATTATCAGATACATTATTTTTTATTTTTTAAAACATTTATTATCAATTAATATGCAAAGTTATTAAAAGAAAAAGCAACCTATGACACGGAGATGACATTCCATCGTCGAGCTACCGGCTTCGTTTATCGCTTTTGCTGTGTAGACAGCCGTATCATCCCTGACGAGTGAAGGAATCGTAATAATGGATATATCTTCCTCAGTCTCGATGGAAATGCGTTTATCAGTTATTTTTTTATCGTTTATTGTCCACGTCATTTTCGGTTTTGGGAAACCGTTGAAGTGTATTTCGACCTTCCATTTGTCGCCCACCGTTAGTCTCTGACTCATCAAGTTTTCATCGCAAATAATCCTCGGAGATTCTTGAATCTTCAATTGACACGATGTTTCCGCTGTTCCTGCATCATTCTGTGCTTTAACCGTGAATGTGGCCGACGATGTCTCTGTAGTTTTTCGAATCGTGTACTTGGCCACGCGGTTTTCGTATGTGATGTCACTGTCTTCGAAAGGCTTACCATCCTTCAACCTAGAAGATGATTTCCGAAATACGGTGTGTTTGAGAATATACTAATTGGCATATTTAGCTTAAGTAAGAAGAAAAGATATACTACCATGCAATATGTGGTGTCGGTATACCACCGATTACGCAAGAAAGCGTGACAGTCTCTCCTAATCCGATCACGATGCTCTTGAGCGCTTCCAGAATGGTTGGCGGTTCAAATGCCGATAACTTGGAAATTTTTAGATATGGCATATTCGGCGATGGCTCACCCGATCCGGCTTCGTTGACTGCTGTCACACGGAAGGTATATTCCTTGTCGATGGTCAAGTTTGTCAGTTTGTGCGTAGTTTCACTTATTGTCTCGTTGATTCTGCTCCATCTGAGGAATCAAATAATTTTTTTTACGTACTGATCAAATTGTAGAAAACTGAATAAACATTTATATTAATAGTTTATTAAATTCATATATTACTTACGAAGATTCCGTTTTTTCGCGATATTGTAAAATGTATTCCAAGATCGGGGAATATCCGTCCAAATCTGGTTTCTTCCAGTGAAGAGTAACACTGTTGTCGGTTATTTCGAGAGGTTCTGGAATTCCTGGCGCTCCAGGTACCTCTGTAATAGACATATTAATTATATGCGCACTTTTTTTCCTTATTACTTTTTATTTCGTGTTCTTTTCTGGAAATTATTCGGATATTTAATATGATAGATAGAAACGTGAATACTTACGCACGACGATGATGTTGATTTCTATACCATCATCCCCATGAGGATTAGTTAATTTTAGATTATAATCACCGAAATCTTTTTCTTGTACATCTCTAATTGTCAAGACGGCTGAATATTCGTCGATGGATGTGAGAATCCGTTTGGATTTTTTAAGAACGCGGCCATTAACGATCCACTCGTCAATCGGAGTTGGCGTAGCCGTGAATTTCACAACAACATCAATATTATCACCTTTCATCGTTTTGTATTTTCTAGGCGTATCAGGATTGATTTTCGGCGATGTTTCGATAACTGAAACACAATCGACAGATATATTACATCAAATCTTTTTTTTTAAATTTATTGTATAAAAGAAAACATAGAAATATTAATATAGCTAATATGATTTAAATGTAGATGATGGATAAACTGTTTATACGATTACACAAGAAAGAAGGCGGTGCAATGCATAAAAACTTACCTTCAACTTTTAATCTGGATGATGTTTTCACATTTGCAACTACGGCAGTATATTCAGCGATATCTTCGGTCGTGCATTTTTTAATGATAAGTTTCTTAATGTTTCCTTCATCAATAATATGATATTTCGAAGATTGTGCGCAATCGATTATTTCGCCTTTCCTATAAATTTCATATAACACATATATCAGCTATATACTTGTTTCAATCATGAATGGAAACGATCAAAAAAATTTGTACATATGTATGTGCATATAAGAATCTTTATTATATTTTTATATTTTAATGTTTGAAAAGTCAACTTACTTTAACCACGTTACAAAGTTATTAAAAGAAAAAGCTACCTATGACACGGAGATGACATTCCATCGTCGAGCTACCGGCTTCGTTTATCGCTTTTGCTGTGTAGACAGCCGTATCATCCCTGACGAGTGAAGGAATCGTAATAATGGATATATCTTCCTCAGTCTCGATGGAAATGCGTTTATCAGTTATTTTTTTATCGTTTATTGTCCACGTCATTTTCGGTTTTGGGAAACCGTTGAAGTGTATTTCGACCTTCCATTTGTCGCCCACCGTTAGTCTCTGACTCATCAAGTTTTCATCGCAAATAATCCTCGGAGATTCTTGAATCTTCAATTGACACGATGTTTCCGCTGTTCCTGCATCATTCTGTGCTTTAACCGTGAATGTGGCCGACGATGTCTCTGTAGTTTTTCGAATCGTGTACTTGGCCACGCGGTTTTCGTATGTGATGTCACTGTCTTCGAAAGGCTTACCATCCTTCAACCTAGAAGATGATTTCCGAAATACGGTGTGTTTGAGAATATACTAATTGGCATATTTAGCTTAAGTAAGAAGAAAAGATATACTACCATGCAATATGTGGTGTCGGTATACCACCGATTACGCAAGAAAGCGTGACAGTCTCTCCTAATCCGATCACGATGCTCTTGAGCGCTTCCAGAATGGTTGGCGGTTCAAATGCCGATAACTTGGAAATTTTTAGATATGGCATATTCGGCGATGGCTCACCCGATCCGGCTTCGTTGACTGCTGTCACACGGAAGGTATATTCCTTGTCGATGGTCAAGTTTGTCAGTTTGTGCGTAGTTTCACTTATTGTCTCGTTGATTCTGCTCCATCTGAGGAATCAAATAATTTTTTTTACGTACTGATCAAATTGTAGAAAACTGAATAAACATTTATATTAATAGTTTATTAAATTCATATATTACTTACGAAGATTCCGTTTTTTCGCGATATTGTAAAATGTATTCCAAGATCGGGGAATATCCGTCCAAATCTGGTTTCTTCCAGTGAAGAGTAACACTGTTGTCGGTTATTTCGAGAGGTTCTGGAATTCCTGGCGCTCCAGGTACCTCTGTAATAGACATATTAATTATATGCGCACTTTTTTTCCTTATTACTTTTTATTTCGTGTTCTTTTCTGGAAATTATTCGGATATTTAATATGATAGATAGAAACGTGAATACTTACGCACGACGATGATGTTGATTTCTATACCATCATCCCCATGAGGATTAGTTAATTTTAGATTATAATCACCGAAATCTTTTTCTTGTACATCTCTAATTGTCAAGACGGCTGAATATTCGTCGATGGATGTGAGAATCCGTTTGGATTTTTTAAGAACGCGGCCATTAACGATCCACTCGTCAATCGGAGTTGGCGTAGCCGTGAATTTCACAACAACATCAATATTATCACCTTTCATCGTTTTGTATTTTCTAGGCGTATCAGGATTGATTTTCGGCGATGTTTCGATAACTGAAACACAATCGACAGATATATTACATCAAATCTTTTTTTTTAAATTTATTGTATAAAAGAAAACATAGAAATATTAATATAGCTAATATGATTTAAATGTAGATGATGGATAAACTGTTTATACGATTACACAAGAAAGAAGGCGGTGCAATGCATAAAAACTTACCTTCAACTTTTAATCTGGATGATGTTTTCACATTTGCAACTACGGCAGTATATTCAGCGATATCTTCGGTCGTGCATTTTTTAATGATAAGTTTCTTAATGTTTCCTTCATCAATAATATGATATTTCGAAGATTGTGCGCAATCGATTATTTCGCCTTTCCTATAAATTTCATATAACACATATATCAGCTATATACTTGTTTCAATCATGAATGGAAACGATCAAAAAAATTTGTACATATGTATGTGCATATAAGAATCTTTATTATATTTTTATATTTTAATGTTTGAAAAGTCAACTTACTTTAACCACGTTACTGATACATCGGCACGCGACAGTTCAATGAGGAAAGTTGCATCGGTGTTGAGAGACACTAAAGTAACATCCGGCAATTTTTTAATAAAATCTATTTCGGGTTCTTCAACCGTCAATCTAGCTGACGAAGTTTGATCGCCAACTTGACAAGAATAGATTCCCGCATCTTCCACTTCCGTGTCGTAAATTTTCAGTTTTTGCCTCTTGCCGTCGATCGACAATCGCACGTGCTCGGAGAATTGCAACTCTTGGCCGTCTTTGAACCAGCGTACTAAAGCGTCACCTTTTGTCAATTCTATATCAAAGGTCGCTTTCTCTCCTCTGGCTATAATTATATCCTGCATTTTGGTAATAATCTCCGGTGGCAATTCAACGACCGTAACTTCTGCCGTACATTCTTGATCCGG